GAAATTCGTTTAAATTACTTGTGGTATATCATGTTACATAAATGAAATGTCATTGGTAAGTAATTACATGGGATTTCCATTACTAGAATGCATCTGAATTGCTTATGACGTCTCAAGTTTCCTTGATCAATACCATTGGTAAGTAATTAGATGACATTTCTAATAAAATCTGAATTGTTTGTGGTATGCTAATCGAGTGAGATCTTATCATTGGTAAACAATTAGATAAATATAGTGGTTGACAGGTTCAGTAAGTAAAACCATGGAAAATAAATGGGATTATTCCATGATGTTTGGCAAAGGGTAGAATTGGGGGAGAAGAGCTTGCAATTTTTTCGACTACTATCTCAAGACCCTACAATGGGATGCAAACCTATACATAAGACAAAAGTGGAAAGGTAAACAAAGTCATACTTGAAAGTATGAAGGTGTCCAATGAGAAAGGGAGAGTCCTTAAACCTTGTGGAGTTAACCCAGTCCAAGGGTATAACTTATGAGTAAACTCTAGCATATATTGACGTTATGTCAGAAAGTTAGAATATTTATTGATGTTGATCCACTCTTCCCAAAGAGTTGATTTTGACCATATACATGTATGTATATGAACAACATACCCCAAACCGGAAACATTGGTTTCAACAACTATGGCGAAATAGTTGAAATGTGGGGGATAAATTGGGGAGAAGTAATGTGGAATGTCGCTTGGGTGATTCCAAAGTGAAGTGATGTGAATACTTAGGAGTTTTACGTAAACCCTAAGTTAAGTCATAGATGTCACTACATTTGAAGAGATACTTGTGAAACTCAAGTACTCTAAGGTTTATGAAGTAGAGAGACTTCAACACCGTTGGCATGTGTTTTGATTATTGCAAGGCAATAAAATCAAGGGAAACACATAAGATGTGTAGTGAATTGAAAAGCGACGAGTCTTTGGTGAATTTTACCCAAAGGAACTCACTGGGTGAACCAAAAGCCATAGTCCATTAATGGAAAGGAATTTATGGTTAACGAGGAGCAGTATCTTGGAAAACGTCCAAGTTAAACTCTAAGACTGGTGAAGTTGAGTAGTTTGGCCCGCATAGACTGGCGTTAATAAACGCACTTGTGCACAAAATGGTGATTGCAAGGGCTAGAAGTGTTATGTGAAAATCTCGTCGTAGAAACATAACATTATTGACTGGTTAATTTCTAGCGAAGTTATCGGAGATGATCAGTTTAGATCTAGTGATAACAAACGTGGGGCCCATCTAGAAATTAATTTAAGCATCAAAGGGAATGGACTCGTGGCCTAGGACAAATCATCATGGCGGTAACTCTACCTAAGTAAAATTGGCAGACCCAACCTCTAGGTTCAAGGAGAAACCAAAGTTGTGAATGATGGTCCGACATTGTCAAATTATTCAAAGTCCATTCTCATGATGAGACAATGTCCAACTATAAGGGTAAACCTAAAGATGGAAGGTTTTTAATGGCTTCTAAGTTTGACACAGGATGTGATCAAATAGTGTATTTTTTGGAATACACATTTAGAAATCACCTATGTGAGTGTGAAGTGGAGCCGCTTCAAGGAGAATAAAAGTAGGCCAGTTCTCTAAGCACTCATGAGACCAGGCAGTGTTCATGACTAAAACGAACTCAACAATGAGAACCAGTGAACGGATAAGAGTTAGTTGTGTGACATATGTTGTCTTAGTATACAAGCAAAACCGACGGTTCAAAGATATCACATCTACCGATTGGTGAGTATACTCGATATATGTTCACTAAGGAAGGTTCAAAGGGAAACCTACCTATTCCGATGCAACTAATTCTTAGTCGAGAATCACACGATTTTTTGCATAGTTTTTTAAAGTACAACATTCCCCATTCATGTGGGGGATTTTTGGGATTTTTAGTGGTGTGAATGGAAATAAAAGGGGAAAGTTTCAAGAGAGTCTCTTGAAGTACCATGTAGGTAAGATGTGGGAAGGCACGACCTCGAATTCGATCGATTTGATGTAATATGTGGTTAATCGGTTAAATTGGTTTGTGTACCAAACGGACCAAACCAAACCGAGTTGAACCAAATCAAACCGAACTGATGTGGCGGTTGGAATAACCAAACCGGTCGAACTACCATGGGCCGAACCGATGCAATGGTTCATTATTTCAAACATGAACCAATGTGTTGGTTGGGGTGTCACCACCCTTATGAAGAGTCGCCTCCCTTCGTACGCACCCTTTCATTTTCTATAAATAGCACCTAACCCCCCTCTGGGTTTTATAGAGATTTTTTCCGATACGAAAATTCTGCCAAAATCCAAAACTAGTTTTCTGAATTGTATTCAAAGAGAACATAGAGTCAAGTGTGGTTCTCGCCGGTTCGCTGCATTCGATGGGTTCCAGGGTTTGAGGTACCGCTACACCGGAAAAGGTACGTCCTTTCTATCCTGGGAGGAATAATTCCATAATCTTCGGTACTTGAGGGGAATAAGATTCTTTAAGGAGAGATAGTGAATTCTATCGACTAGGATGCTTGCATGTGTCTTTGCATGTTTTCTTAATCTTATGTGTTTGCTTGTGTTGCAAGAAAATAGTATACTTGAAAAATTTCCCCAACAGTAATTACCCTCGTTGACCGGTTACGGTCGGGTAGGGTACCCATGGTTACGGGTCGGATTGACATCCCTAGAGAGGACACATGAGGAATCCTAAGATGTAAGAAGCACAGCGGGGTAGCTGCGTCGCTTTTACATGTGGTGTATATATATTATATTTCGGGCGATCTGTTCGTTATATGTATTTTGATAAGTTTTGACCAATTTGAATAGTTAATTATTATTTTTTATTCAAATAAAATTCGGGTTTGGGTGTAGAGAATTGGAGTCTGGGTCTATTTATTAGATATTAAGGTATAGTATCATATCTCAAACTTTATTTAATTGATAGTTTAGATAGAGATATCTCTCCAATAGTACTTGTATAGTATCATATACTCTAGCTGTATATTAGTTTGACCCATGTACATATACGGTTCAGCCTACCGTATGCTTACCTTACGGTACGGCCGTCAAATTTTGGGGTATGATATTATATTATACCCAACCTCTAATGTGTGAACTCCAGTCCCCAGTTCTCTAACCTAACATATAAGATTAATTTAATTTTAAAATAAAAATCAACGGTTTTGATTCATTGTAATTATCAAACGACTGATCCTTAAAGGTAAGGCGTTTTCATGAAGAATTCGATGGTCTATCCTTCATCCTTCCACTCCCCTGAGTCTGTTACCTTCCCTGGGGTGTGAGTTTCAATTGGATTCCTTGATTCTTTGAAATTATCAAAATACAAATAATAGGTGTGAACACAGGCGTATAGCGTACGCTTAGCCTTTTTAATATATATATGGTGGCTTCTTCGATGCACTATCAAATTTTAGATTTTAATTGGTAGAATTAGTCTGAAATGATAATATAACATATGATAAGAAATCATCAATCCATTACTCCAACGCATTAACCTTCAATTTTGAAACTTATCATAAACCCAAAATTAAAATCCTAACCATAACCCTAAATCCCTAATCTCTAAAACCTTCAAATTATAGTAAACCTAGAGTGATTTTGAGTACATTGTGTGCATTCTCTTTTTCTATGATTTATATCATAAAAAAAGACTTTACTAGTTTAGAAACAACTCTACTAAATGAGTAGAACTTACATAATCCATATATGGTACTTTTATTATCTGTATGCAAAAAAGTACATTGGCTCCAAGAGCTAGATAAAAAGGAAGTTAAGAATTAATAAGTTAGATCACTCCCCAATACTACTTAACTTCTTACGGTGCTAATTGTATAATAGTTAGCACCGTCCTAACCAAGGAAAAAACTACTACTAGTTTGAATTAGTAGTGATTTAGCTTAGATGTTGTATTTATTTTATAATAATCCGTAGTGATTTCGTTATTTTTAGTAGCGTTTTTTGCTAGTTATCACGGTGCTAACCCCTATAAGGGTTAGCATCCCATCCTGAGCAAAGGAACATTTGAGTGTCTTTTTTCATCAATAATGAAGCCTTGCATCTCTCTCTCCACAAAGAGATGCACAGTCATCATTAATGCAATTATGTCTCGACACTTCAGAAGCTTCAACCATATTCAGAACCCAGACTTTCCTGTAACAGACCAAAAGTCATAATTCTTCATCTTAATATCTTGTCAAATGCGTTGATATGATGAGAGACTATCCACCCAAATTGCCATTCAAAATTGAGTCGAATTGTAAAGCACACCCATTATCAACTTCAATCTACTAGACAACCTCAACATTTAGATCTCCAGCTAGTAATCTTGGCATTCAACTAACCAATGTAACCAATGAGAGGCGTGCCAGCCTTTATAGAATGCTTTCCAGAGGTGAGTGGAAGACCTAGATAGTAAACTGGTAGTTTCGTTAATCTGTACACTACCTTTCAACCATTCATTTCAGCCATTCCAGAAGCAACCTCCACAATAGAGCTCAAATTTTGTAGGGTTTGAGATCAAATGAGACAAATTTATAAATTGATCCAGAATAATAGAGATCATGATTTGAACAATCCAAAAAAGTAATAAAACATCGACAAACATCAAGTATGCCAGACCAATCCTTTTACATTTTGGATGAAATAGGATTAAACAACTGACAAAAACCTTATGCATCAAACATGAAAGTATTTCCATGGCAATGACTAACATGTAAGGGTATAATCCCCCTGCATCAAGCCTTTTTGCAACAAAATAACCAACCATTTCTCCATTGAATCCAACGGTTATAATAGGACTGGTGATACACATCTCTGTCCATTTTATCAAAGTGAAAGGGAATCCCATAGCCTCAATGACCTTAAGCAAAATACCCTAGTAAGCTAAATCAAAAGCTTTCTCAGATCAACTTCAATGATAATTTTTTTTTGATAATGGTGAAATTGCATTGAAAATGAAAAGAGGAGTCTGATACAAATTAAAGCCAACCCCTTCACCAGAAGTGAAACTAAGGTAAGCAGTAAAAAACAAAAAGAAGCGAAAAGGAAACGAAAAGGAAACAACAACAGCAACAAAGGCAACAGAGAAGTGACTCAAAAATCAAAAGGAATGAAACAGAACATGGAGGATCATGGAGCGAACCAAGCAACAGAGTGTAGCAGCAAAATGAAAGCAAAACACCACCACCTCCTCCTCCTCCAACAAAAACCACGGCTAGCACAATCGAAAATAGTAGGACAAGATCATGTTAGCATCCTCACTGCACCTCAGCCTGACAACTCAAGCGAGCACCTATTAATTCATCACCAGCAAGCAAACACAAATCTGCCATCGACCCTCACTCAGACAACCACATAACAGGACTCCCAAAACACCACTCGATGGATAATCTTCCGAGAATGTTCTCCCTCAGCCATCTCGCTCCAGCTACTCGTTGAACTTTACCATGAACCATGATCTAGGACATAGAGCTCTGCACAAGCTTTCTAGCGACAACAAAAAGCGTCCCCTTCTTCTCCTCGAAAACACATTGATTCCTTTCCAGCCAGACAAACCACCACAGAACATGTAAAATGACGAAATTAAATCAATTCTCGATGTTCTCCTCTTTTGGACAAGGCCATTGCCTGATGATGGCCTCAATGTCCCTATCAAGAACGTTCACATGTCTCCCATTGCACCCAATGTTACACCCCACTTCCTTGACAAAATCACATTCAACGAACATATGAAGGACTGATTCTTCCTTGGCTTGACATAAAGCACACCTGTTCGCCAAATTTCACCCTCTCCTTTTCAAAATGTCCAATGTCAACATCCCGTTATTATAAACAAGCCAAACAAAGAAACACACTTTACTCGGGACCGTCTTTTTCCAAATTTGCATTGTCGAAAAATCATGCACACCGCAGAACTCGCCACAAGCAAGTCGCCTGTACGTCTAGCTCATCGAGAAACGTAGATCATGTTCGATGTTCCATGTTATCCTATAGGGCTAAATGCATTTCGATAGAAACCAATAGAATCCAATAAACTACAAAGTTCAATCCTTTCCCTCTCAGCCCCACCCCTAAGACTGAATTAAAATTAATGTTCCAACTCACCACCTCACCAGAAAAATTCGCAACGTCGAAAAGTAAAGCGTCCGAATCAGTGGAGCAGCGGCAACACGGGGAAACTGGTCAGCAAGTACAATCTCAGGGATCCAACAATCATGCCAAACGAAACCATATTACCATTGCCCGGGTTTACACAAGCAAATATTCAGAAGAGAACGTGCTCCTTGCTGATATTAGCCCAGACCGAACTGCAAAAACCTCCTCTATCGCTCCTCGTCTGCCAACAGGAAGACTTATTGGGGTACTTGCAGTTAATTAATTCCCGCCACCAACTACCCTTCTCCACTGCAAACTTCGAACACCATTTCAATAGCATAGCATCATTAAACATTTTCAAGTCATGGATACCCAGTCCGCCATTACAGAATTCGGCCTTACATGTGTTCCAGTCTATAAGAGCCATCTTGTCATCATCAGTCCTTCCATTCTAGAGAAAGTTCCTTTGCAAATTTTCCAGATCTTTGATGACTGACAATGGCAGTGTTATTAAAGCCGAGCCGAGCCGAGCCGCTCGGCCCGACCGATAAAACCGCCACCCGGTCACAAAATCGGCTCAGAACAGTCTAAAAGTCGCTCCGGTTTTATGTAGCGGTTGGCGAGCGGCTGAGGCGGTTAATCGTTCGAGTCGATCGAGCCGCTCGTCCGGTTTTTGCCATTCAGCCACTAAATTTAATTAAAAAAATTGTAGAAAATTGAAATTTGAAATAAACCAAAAACGTCTGGCTCTCAAATTGAATCCTTATTTCCATTTCACAATTTTGAAGGAAAGAGATGAGCTTTGATTATGAAATGTACACTATTTATACTGATAACGTTTATTAGATACCGGTTCTCTAACGGTTTTTAAACGGTCTAATGTCGGTTGGACCGCTAAAGTGCGAACTTTTCGCATTACCGGGTCATGCTCCGGTTTGGTTCTGACAACATTGGACAATGGAGCCCTAAACAGGGAGAACAAATATGAAGGAGTACTCGACATAACAGATTTGACCAAAACTAAACTTGCTCCATACGAAAAATGACGACTCCTCCATCCACTCAATTTGTTCTGATACTTCTCATTGATAGGAGTCCAAATAGAAGCATCATTCGGTTTTGGTCCAAGAGGAAAGCCTAGATACTTCGGCGGCTCACGAATCCACTTGCAACCAAAAATGGCAGCAAAGAAGCTAGGGTCTGAAATGTCCCCAACTGTATACATAACATACTTTTCTAAATTGATTCTCAGTCCCGTGACTGCTTGAAAGCAAGCAAGGTTAGCTAGAACATTCAAAACCTGCTCATGGTTACCATCACAAAATATAAGAGTATCGTCAGCAAATAAAAGGTGGCTGACTTCCGAGTTTTCTCTCCTCGTTCATATAAAACCCTTCAAATTTCCCAACAGCTCTCACGACATTCAGCATTGACGGTAGCACTTCTATAATCATTACAAAAAGACCATGAGAAATGGGTATCCCCTTGAAGAAGACCTTTCGAATCCGAAAAGAATCCATGAGCCTCTCCGTTAATAAGAATCAAGACATTTAGTGAACACATCGAACCCTTTATCCATCTACACCATATGTCCGGAAACCCCATCGGCCCCATAACCTTGAAAAGGCAGTCCCAATTAACATTATCAAACGCCTTTTCAATGTTCAATTTGAACATAAGACCAGGTTTTCTACTCTTCTTCCTGCTATCAATGAGTTCATTAGCAATAAGCCCCTGCTTCTGATATCTGTCTCCCATGAACTGACACATGCTGATGATGGGAAATTAACTTGGGGAGAACCACCCCCAACCTTCTCGAAAGAACCTTGCTGATCAATTTATTAATACTACCCATCAGATTGATAGGTCGGAGAGTTCCACTCTTAGCAAGAGTTCCAGACACTTAAAGCACTAACCAGATCCCTCTTCAGGTAATTCCAACATTTCTTATAAAACTCCATCGAAAACCCATCCGGACCAGACACCTTATAACCGTCACAGTCATTCAAAGCCTCCAAGATTTCCTTTTTTGAAAATAAGCCACCCAACAAGGTACGATCCTCCTCATTCAGCTGCTACCAATTCAGCCCGCAAGAAAACGGTCTAATCACAATATCTTCTTTGAATAAACTCTTATAGTGTTCAACAATCCCCTTTGCAATTTCTTCCTTATCTTCAACCATCACTCCACTGATTCCGATTCTATCGACCTAGTTAAACTTCCTTTTATAGCTTGCCATTCTATGAATATAGTTAGTATTATTGTCCCCCATTTTGATCCAAAGTTCCCTCAATGATACTTCTACGAGAAATGTTGTTCCACTTGTACTTCATAACTAACTCATATACAAGTAATATGTTTTCCCCTATGACTATGCCTTTTACGAAGGGAATATGATTTTCACTAATAACCAGAAGCAAAATAACACCTAAACTTGTGGCTAAAGTTTTTTCTATACACGTATATAGAATGCTGCAACATGAAATTGGATGAAACAATTTCATCTCTTCAGGGTTTTTATACTTATCGATCAAAGCTAGTAGTGTGAAATTCACTTCACCTAGAATTAACGACTGGATAACACTACTTTCCTAAAACCCCATAATATGCCAAATTGCCTAGAAAATGTTGTAGAAAAACCATCTGAGCTACAAATCTTATCTCCATTAAAACCAAAATAGCACTCTTCACATCTTTAGTAGACACTGGACTGCAGATTCAGTTGCTATGCATCAAGTTTATTCAGTAACAACCCTTTGAAGAACTCTACTTATTCTTGATGTACTTCTTCATATGCCTTACCTTACCTAACAAACTCTCATAGAACTAAGTTACAATACTACTCATTCCATCTGTATTTATGACCCTTTTCCCATTAATATCAATCATAGATCGAATCATGTTTCTCTTTTGCCTCACTTTCTCATCTAGAAAAGGAGTCATTGATCTCCCCACCACTGTGGTAGATGGTTGGTTCCCAAAATCTATGGTCTCTTTTTATTCTTGATTTCAATATGAAACTCTTGCAAAAGGAGGATCCACCAAATGTGGCAAGGTTTTGCATCAACATTGTTCGTCAAAAAGCGGATAGCCGAGTCGTCGGTGTAGACAATAACCTTTGACAAGACCAAATAGGACCATAACTTGTAAAAGGCATGTACTACCGTCAATAGCTCTTTCTTGGTAATGTAATTTTCACGAGAATCATTTGGTATCTTTAAGGCATAGTAGATTGGTTGGAAATGTTTACCCCACCTCAGCCTAAAAACGCTTCTGACTGCACAATCGCTTGCATTACACATAAGCTCGAAGGAGAGACTCAAAACATGTGTCACCATGATGGAGGTGTGAGTAAGCTTTTCCTTCTCAAGAAGCTTTGTCAAAGGTAGTGTAATCTTCGAGAACCCTTCCATAAACCGGTGATAGAAACTGACGTGCCAAAGCAAACTCTAGATGCCCTTCATGAAGTTAGAAGGGGGTATCTTGCTTATAGTTGATCTTTGCCCTGTCCACTTCAATATTATTCTTGGAGACTTTATGTCGGAGAACAATGCCTTCACGAAATATGAAATGGCATTTATCCCAATAAAGGGCCAAATTGGTCTCCTCGCATCGTAGCAACAGTTGGTCAAGGTTGTTGAGGCATTTGATGAAGGAATTGCCAAAGATAGCGAAATTGATTCGGGTCCAATTGTACACATTTTACCCCTCATATCTTGATAGTTTGGCTTTGCATTTTATCATCCCTCGACATATTTCACGCTAGGTTGTGCTTGTTTTGACACATTTCAGGTCCTAGCACGTGTGGGAAGGCCGAGGACGAGTTTCGGGTCGATTTAAGGTTGAAAAGCGCCAAATAGTCCATAACCGTGAACATTGAGTCGTCCAGGGAGAAATCTGCAGTTACTTCCGCAAGATGAGTTTGGAGCACAAACCGTGAAGCCAGGAGAGTGAAGCGGTGCATTTTGGAGACGACGTTGAGTTCACGGACACGTTTAGGTGTTCATGGCCGTGAATTGGCCAACGCAGCCGCGAATTGGTCCCTTTCGGGCAAATATGAAGACAAAAATGGGGAGAGAGAAAGGAGGAGCTGGTTTTTGGAGAAGGAACACTTTCTTTCTCTAGGGTTTTGACCAAAAAAACAAAGAGCAGTTATAGAGAGAGAGAGAGTGATCTTGGAGCTTAATTGAAGGCTTGATCAAGCTTGAAAGCAAGGAAGCCTAAAAGAAGAAGAAGATCTTGAGGTTTCTTTGTAATCTCTCCTCTCTCTCTCTAGAATCTCACCCTCTTCTCTTGGGTTTAAGAACCGTAGGTCTTAATTTTGGTGTGTTGCTGATGTATGTGACAAATTTCTTGTTTAATTGATGATTCTACTTGATTGATGGATTTTTACATGAATGGCATGAGTTGGGTTTCCATTTCCATGTCTTGAGATTTTGACCTATGAGAGAGATAATCCCCTTAGAGTCCCATTCGGCGTCTTCGTGTCACTCCTATCTTATAT